CTCGGGCTCCTCCCTTTCTCAGCGCTCAGGGCGCGGGCCTTGCCTTAGCGTCAGCGTGGTCACAGCCCCTCGTAGACCCGCGGGTCGGGATTGGGCCTGCGCCGTGGTGGTGGGGCGCCTGCGCACTGGCCTCCCTTTGGCTGGTAGATCGTCTCTCTCCTAATGTGCAGAGAAAAAAGCAAAATGTTTTAGGGAACGTAATTTCCACCTCTTTATTTCCAAACGTACAGGGGTATCCCTATGAATTTCTCGTCAAGACAAAGTATTGCAGAAAGGATGAGAGGACACCTAGCTGGCCAGGCCGCCATCCACTTTCCCGTCGCCTAGTAACTGTTTCCATAGCAACCGCGCGGTCCGCGACTCCGAGCAATCCAGAAGGAAGAAAAACCGCGTTTTTCTTGAGAGAGACTGCTAAGGAGGAGTCAAAGGGGGATTACACGAAAGAGAGACACCTGAGTTCCTAGACAGGGCAAGGGTGCAAAAAAGAAAGGGGAAACATCAGAGAAAGGGGCAGCGTTACCAGTACTCTACAGTAAGAAAAAGAAGTTGAGGGTTGCAGTTTTTAAGGAGTCATTCGCTGGTCATGGATCCAACGTGCTTGTCTGAGAGCATTTATAACCTCATACCCAGGGACTTGGAGCCTTCCCAGCCTCCTAGGTATGTGGGTAAGCAAAGATTCTCATCCCTTGAAACAGAATCGGGGACTGATAATGATTCTATTTCCAGATTAACTAAGCATATGTATCATAGGATTTTTGAAAATAACACGTTTTGTCTCAATGAAATATAGCCTTAATGAAAACTTCTTAGAAAAGTCATCAAAAAAAAAAATCTAGGTGTTTAGCACTTCACTTTCACACAAAAGCTTTCCAGTGCTGTCATTAGGTTACACTTATCCTGCTATTAACACGTTATGTGGTTTACAACCTAAAGTGAAATATCAAAAGGGAAAATCACAACTGTATTTTCCTCTGTTAGAAGACTTGATGTTTGGTTTCAGGAGTTCAGTGTTGTCCTAACTGTGTTACTGCTTCCTCTCTAAAGGTACAGTACTTTTTCCTTCCCCTCGAGATTATTGTGAAATATAAATTCACATTTGTTTCTGCATCTCCGTTTTTTTGATTGATGAAACGAAGCAGAGGGACTAGATACAGGAATTTTTAGAACTTTTTCAGGTCTAGTGCCTAAATGGGAGAGAGAAAGGTTGCATATCCGGGTAGAGATCCAAAAATATGTAATTGAGTTAAATTTTTTACATAGTTGTTAGGGCTCCTAATAGTTCCCATTCTCAAAAAGATAACCATACACTCCTGTGTATTACTTCTTAGAACTTCATTAAATCTGTGGGGAGGAAAGAAGGTAATTAGTGGAGAAAATCTCTTGCTTCCTAGAACTTAAAACGTTTCCTGCTATTTAACTTTATTTTTTTCCTTATGCTAGTAAGAAACACTTTAAAAGAACACTGGGCTAAAAATCTGGATCCACAGCCAGTTGTTTCAGAGGTCTTAAATGCATTTTGATTTGTTTTCTCACTTGTAAAACTAAGTGAATTAAGTAATCTCTAAGGTCCCTTTCAAATCAAATAGTCGATTACTTTTACTAATAATTGCTTTTGGGAGACATAACAACAACTTCCATTTTCAGCCTAAGTGAGTAGCAGGTTTTAACCAGAGCAATAATTATATTGTATTTACATTGTCTTCTCAAAATCTAGTAGACATTGGAAAAAGGAATGTAAAATAAACTATAGTGTGGTTCATTATATTATTCGTGAACCAACATTTCGTTTAGAGTTCCTGTACATCATAAAATGAAGTTCCTCCTTTTTGTAACACCCTCATACAGCGGTGGCAAACCTACGGCATGGGTGCTTTTCTTTTAAGACAAAAGATGTGAGTTGTTGTTTCTAAACAAAACCTCAGAATTCAGGTTTAATTGCAGTGTTGGCACTTTGCAATAAATAAGTGGGTTTTGGGTTGCAGTTTGGGCACTCGGTCTCTGAAACGTTCACCACTGCGGCATAGGTTTTCTATTCTGTACAATACTGAATTTGAATGTTAAGATGTGTTATTAGATAGCTGTATTGTTCATTCATAAATTTAAAAGTTATACAGCATCTGGGCAATTTTTTATTTAAAAAGTTATAAGAACAATTATAATTTATTTAAATCAATATTGATTAATTTGGTAGATCTTAGCCATTCCTAATCAAAGAATATCCTGAATAATTTCAGTCTGCTGAAAAATGCTGAGAGTTGCTTCATATTAATGTATGGTCGGTCTGCTTTATTATCCGATCTTTTTTGAGACAGGGTCTCATTATGAAGTTTAGGCTGGCCTTGAACTATGTAGCCCAGGCTGGCCTTAGGCATGGCGTTGGTGATCCTCCTGTTTCAGCCTCCTGAGTGCTGGGATCACAGGTGTGCACCACCATGCCCAGCTGATTTGCAGGATTTTCACTGAATCCACCACCCTTCTATGGAGGTTGTAGTTATTTAATATTTCCTATCTTTCTTTTTCCCCTTTTAAGGAAATATTCCAGATATGGTTTAAACAGCCCATGAACCTAATAACTTCTTTCTTTGATACTTGGTGCAATGCTTTTACCCCAGCAGCCTAAGTTTTCATTATTGTTTGGGTAGCCATGTCCCACTTTTGGTTCACAGTGAAATTCCTGTGTATGCTAGGTCTAAGATTGGCCTCTCCCATCTTTAATTATGTAGCTGATTATTTTTTTCTCAGCCCATCGTTAATTTATGGAAATAGTTTTCAATTATGAATTATTCATACACTCTCAGCCATTCTTCCCAGCTATGTGTCATTTGCAAATCTAATGAGTGTCTTTTATATCCACATCTACCACTGAAGGGCAAGTACTTCACACTGCAGGGAGGCTACCAGATACCTCTCCGAAGGCTGACAATACCTTTTCGAGTCTTCAGTTACCCAAAATAGACCCATTAATCATTCAGATTTCCTTAATTTGTCAGTAAGGATTTAATGAGGGGCTTTGCTAGCATCAAGATGAAAATTGTTATGCCAAAAAATATCTCCCAGTGAACCTCAACAAACTTCTTTTTTAACTGATGTTCATTTGTGGTGACTGAGACTCCAAACGGACTTATGCAACCTCTGCCTTGCTACAAACAACGAATTCTTTCTGCAACTCTATGGGAATTGTCACAAGACTTACTGCTATAAAGCTTCCTGTTGTCTCCTTGAAAATGGGAATATTTAATGTCATAAGTGCCACTAGTTCTCTTGAAGTACCTTCCTGATTTTCATTGAGATTAATAATCAGAATTTAGTTTTTGGAGGTTCCTATTCTTCGTGGACTACTTTCCATTTTATTCAGTGCTCATAATATTATACCTGTATGCTCTGAAGTCTTTATAACATTGTTAATGTAAAGTCTAGTTATGTGTCTGACTCTCCTCAGCAATCTGTTCTTGACAAGTGTAAGATGAATAGTAAGATGACAGAGTCATTTTTTTTCCTATTTCTTATCTACTTTGCTGACTGATTGCAGGCAAGAATTCAACTGAGGAAAGCAATAACCCTTTTAGTGAACTTAGATTTAAAGAAAGTCCAGAATATTCTAAAATCATTGTGGTATAATAATATTTTATGCTAAAATTCTCATTGCTGTGATATATAATTTCAGGCAGTTTTATGATTAGTGTTAGGAGATTTTATTCATATTTTTCATCTGACTAAGCAATCCTGCATACTCTCAGAAAGCTCACACTTCCCTTCATCTGTTGCATTACTTTTATCCCAGTGATCTGTTTTCACATGCTTATACATTACATCACACACGCGCGCACACACACACACACACACACACACTTTTACATAGATCTTACAGTTTACATGAAGAAGATTTAAAATCACCAGGAAACACCAGAAGATGTGGTGTATATATATTAGAGACACCTGAAGAATGTAGAAGAGTCCAAGATTTGGGAAGTCACATAGTGGAGGAGATAAGGAAAAATGATAATTTTCCCTTTTAGATGCATTTCATGGATAAGAGGAAGGATATTCACAAACAGGATATTGTCATCAAGGAAAACTGCAGCCAACATGTACATTTACTGGTTTAATATTTGTTCGTTTTGAGTTCCTGCCTCTCATTTAGATTTCTATAGATAATATAGCACACAGTAAGAGATATTAGGGTACAGCCCTGGCATTTCATATATGCTTAAAAATATTGAAAGGGAAATATGCCAACAATATTTCTTAGGATTAGTTGCCAGAGAAATTTTAGATAAACGTATTTTTGTGAATGTTAGGTTTATTTGTTGAATGGTTATTCAGTTGCAGAACAAGGTTTGGTATCTTAAGCAATGCCATACAATATATTGTGGTTGAGGAAAGTAATTTTAGAAATTGAAAAGTATGTGTGTCTGTTATATTAACAATTGCAACACCCTAACTTTTTAGAAAACAAGACTATATCATCTAAAATACAGGTAAAATAAAGGGTTGCATAGTCTTAGTTTTAAAAAATTTAATCAAGACATTTAAAACACTATAATGATAAAAACAAAAATACTCTTAATAATAATAATATGCTCTGTGGATTTACGACATACCAGGTCCTGTTCTACATTTTCCACAATTACCATTGAATTGGTGATTCACAAGGTCCCTGTGAAATAAGTAGTATTGTCCTAGTTTTATGAAAGAGAAAAGTCAGGCCCAGAAAGTTGAGGCAGATAGGAAGGAGGGCTGAAACCAAGATGCTCTGCCAAAAGGCCCACTCACCTTTCACTGGTTTTCACACTGCCTGAATAAGTGAAGCAAACCCAATGAGCACTTTCTGCCTCCTAGCAAGTTTTTTAATCTTCTGATGATTCACTGTGTATCACATTGTTTAGTATTTATGAATGATCATGTTCTAATGCAGTAGGATATTTTGTGATGAAGCTATTAAAGAAAATGTGGAATGGTAATAGAAAAGTCAGGTAATGCTACACATGAGGGTGCATATAAAGAACATGCTTTATGGTGCTGTGCAAATTGGAGCTACTAGAAAGCAGCCAGCTGGCAAAAGCATGATTCTTCCTATAATTCTTTAAAACTCACATATCCTCCAAGTTAATTGTCCATGGACAATAGCAAATAAGTCGCTGAGGAAACTTACACATAGTCTTGGTGTGGAGCCATAAATACACGTCCTCTGAGGTTCATGGATAGAGGAGATGCCATATATAAGGTTATGAATAAAGATTTCAACTTACATTGAATATATGGAGTTTCGTAGGTCAGATATTGCTCTCGTTTTGAACCCATGACCAAATACCATAACACAATCAAAGCAGATTTGTAGATAGGTCATCAGCTATCTGCATCATTTAAGAATTGAGTTTTCTGATATCTAGATCAGCTTTGTCCAATAGAATAGAATGTGAGTTACAGCTATAATTTGAAATTTTCTAATTGTCCCTTTTTAGAAGTATAAAAACTGGTAAAATTAACTTTAAATATTTCATTTAACCCAGTGTGCCTAAAATAGCATGATTTCAACACGAGACACTAGCCACATTTCCAGTGCTGGATATCCACAAGGAATACTGAAAATCAAGGCCCAACAGTAATGCATCACCTTTGTTGTTTTTCTCTATAATTTGGGGTAGGTAGCACTAAGATCATAACTACACTCTATGACATACAACTGAGTTACCAAATGAGTGCCGAGCATAACTTTGAGAACCAAACAGGCTGATGGTAGAATCGGCATCCATTTTTGAACAGTTAATTACTTACTATAGTCATTAAGCTGAATTAGAGACTCTAACTTCAGTGCTTGTAGATGTGTTTATGAACTATGTACATGCAAAAATTTTCTGCAAGAAATAATTAGGGGCCAGGCATGGTGGCACACACCTGCAATCCCAACTACTCTGCCTACTGAGGCAGGAGAGCTGCAATTTAAGACCCTCTCTTAAAATAAAAAGTAAATAAATGAAATTCCTTTTAAAGGGTTGGGGGATGTAGCTCAGTGCTCCCTGGAGTCCATCCCCAGTATAGAAAGAGTGGTGGAGAGAGGTGGGAGATGGAAAAGGGAGAGAGAAGAGAGGATGAAGGGAGGGGAGGGGAGGGAGAGGGGAAGGAGAGGAAAAGAAAGGAAAAAGAGAAGGCAAAAAAGAAAGAATCTGAAGTACTTTAATTTAGCCTAAAATTAAACACACGCAAAAGTTATTACTCCAATACTCATCTCATTCATTAGGGGAAACAGTTTCGACCAAATTCTGTGACACTCTCACAACTTTTGAGTGATATTTGCTCGATGGTTATGATGACATGACATTATATAGTGACTATTGGTATAGTTCTGATTCATTTATTGAAGATGACAATTGTAGTTTGAAAATAAGTTACCTCTAGCCTGCATCTAATAATAAATAAAACATACAGCCAGTTTTCTAATAAAATTACCTCTTAGATATTTGTCAGGCCACACTTCAGAAAACAGAATAAAATGCAGCTATTTAAAAGAGTAAGCTTTGCATACTGACATTAAAAGATATTAAACTCTATTAAGTTTTTTAAATTAAGTTTCAATTCCAACAGAAACAAAGAAAACTAAATTTATTCTGAAAAATTGGGGAAGTAGAACTTAGAATTTTACTCATTTATAAATTTTCATTTTATAATTAGTTCACATACATAAAAATTAGGCATATAGTAAAATTTCTTATCAATGATTGATGTGTGGGCTTTCATTTACACAAAAAAAGTATTTAATTACAGAATTGCAAACTGTTAAGTGGGAATGTATGCACTCTCTTCCACCTCAGAGAAAACTGGATTATTAATCCTGAAACCGTATCTGCCAGCCCAACTTCCCTGGGATTTGTAAGGCACATGTTTGGTTTGAATATTATTTCCTGATGGTATCTAAAGAGCTCACTGAATTCAGACCATTGATTCTCAGCCGTTGAGTTCAAGATTGAGGAATACCCCGCAAAGCAAAAAACAAAAAGTTACATGTTTTTCCAAATAAATTTAATCCACATAATGAAAAAGGCAATACAAACTCCTGCTCAACTCCCACTTCCAACCAAGCATGCGATTTACTTTTTCAGCTAAAACAACTAGAACATTTGAAAAAATATATGAAACAGTAGTTTTTAGACAATAGGTGCACAGAGCACAAACCCTAAAAGAGAAAAGGATGAAGCAAGTCCTATAATTGCCCTAACATAATTCCTGGAAACAATTTCCAGGCCAAAGTCCTGAAGAGGGAATGTAAACTGGGAACAGAAGACTCCCTGAGTTAAGAAAACCAGAATACACAGAACAATGTACCAGAGAGGAGAGGACTGCGGAGAACAATGCAAATCTGCAGGAGGGTGTCCCTGAAAAGCTTTGGCTGATAGCACATGAGAGTAATGAAACTACCAAGGCCAAGGAAATAACCAGCAGAGAGCAACAATGCCAGGTAAAAATCATGCTCTCACCAATCAGAGTGGAGATGCCTCTAACTAAACAAAACAAGCAGAGCTCTCTAAAGTGGCGCTAAGTTGAAACTAGACTAAAGGCTCTTCTGGACTTGTCCTAAAACTTAAAACCAAGCTTTAGAATGACCACACTGTTTCCAGCTATCATAACTGCATTCCAGAATAAAGCAAATGAGAAATATAAAAGAGAAAAAAGTGAAAAATTCAGCAATTGACAATGTAAAATTCAGTGTTTTGTGTCCGATCTAAAATTACTTTCAAGGCATAACCAAGAAGAAAATCAGTCAATATAATCAGACATAGAAATGACATGCATACGAGAGTTAGTGATAAGGACATGTTAGACAGCTATTTAATATCATGTTCAAAAAGTCAGAAGAGGGCATGCTTGAGACAGGGAAAGAGCAGGAGGGAAGGGTCTAAATCTAACTTGTAGGCACAAAGAATACAGTAATATGTCCCAAGTGAACGTAGTGTACGAGATGGGAAACAACAGCTAAGGTACCAAAAAGAAAATATCAATGAATTGAAGGCACAAAAGTAGAACACAAGATGAAACTCAGAGAAGAAAGGACCAGAAATGGAAATGGAGTCCTGGCAAGCTATGGACAACCTTAGCAACCTGACATAAGTGTAACTGGAATCACAGAAGAGGAAGGGAGGCATGGAGAAGCTGAAGGAATCCTTGAATAAGAGTAAAAAATATGTCAAATTTGATGAAGTCTCTACACCCACAGATCCAAGAATCACAATGAACACCAAGCAGAGAAAAAAATAAGATGACTATGCCAAGGGACCTTGTAATTTAAATTTATTCAAAACAGCAAGAGAAAAAAAAAGACTTACACCAGAAGAATAAAAGGACAGAAAACTTACATTAATGGTAAACGGTGGATGCTGGAGATTTTTCAAAGCTCTTTATGAAAAAGGAGATGACACCACTGGGAGACCTGGCTTCACAAATCGAATGAAGAACACTGGAAATGCTGAAGACAGTGCTCAGTATCAAACATTTCTCTCAAAGCCCTAACATAACTGGCTGCATTTTTAAAATGACAATGAGTTAGGGATTCTTGACAGAGGGAAGTAAAACGCAAGACACCACTGGGACAAAGGTGAGGACGGAAACAACATGTTTGTGACATTCTCCTTTGCCCCTTTTCTGTGGTGCTGGGGAGAAACCTAAGGCCTCGGTCGAGCCAAGAAAGTTCTCTACTTCTCAGCTACATCCAGCTCCCTCTCGGTTCTTACCGCAAGTGGTGTACTATCTGTGAAAGTTAAGCACGCACCACGAGTGTAAACCTGAAAAATAAAATTTAAAACTAAGGCAAGGATGAAAAGAGAAACATTAAGCAGTGGGGTATGTAGAAAACAGCAACATGAAAATTTAAATCCTATTAAACATGAATGGTCTAACGTGCCAAATAAAAATGCTTCTTCATTTGATGAAATTTCTATTTCTATATGTTCACAAGGAATGGTCTTTACAAATGAAGACACAGAGAAGGAAAAATATCCAAGAATGCAAAAGATATACTATATATACATCAAAGGATATTGGAGTGGGTATACTAATGTCAGACAGAATAGGTTTTAGAGCATAGAATTTTTTTTTTTTTTTTTTTTTTTTT